TAAACACACGCACTATATTATTATAATAATGTAATAATGTATATTATAACAACACAATAATAAAATGTACATATAAAAATGTATATACACACACACATATAAATGATAATAATATTATACTGTACACACACACACACACACACATTATATGTGTATACTATACGCTCTGGTGTGTCTCGTGAATACTAATGTTGATGTTTCTATAATAAGAGACTGCAGACATTTAGCTATTAATGTATATTGTAAGTTTGGTCTGCAATAGGCAAAGTATTCCAGATAAAGTCTCCACCTTGGTATTATTTATTGGTTGCAGTTTGCAGTACTGGAAGTGACATTGGACAAACATAAAACACCAAATCAAATCCTGGCATACATCGGAATAGGTCTGTATGCTGTTACTGTCATAGGCAATTTTCTTACCCGGCCCCATATTTACTCGAGTAAAGTGAAAGTTGAAAGAACGATAAAGTGCTATAAATACGAGCTGAGTGAAAGTTCTAGGTGCATTAGCAGCATCTGGGACCCTCGTGTTAGAGACAGAGCATTAGGTGAGACTATAACGTTCGCTCAGATTCCAGGTGATTGTCCCCTGCTACCCCTCCTCCTCCTCCTCTTCTCTCCCTGCACTTCCTATTGGCTGCCGGCCCCGTCTGACATCAAGAGCTGAGGTCCATATAAAGCTGCCTGGGGAGGCACACAAGGGTTAAAGCGCTGAGAACAGCAGAGCTGGAGCCTGGATCATATCTGTTATTGTATCCCAGGCTTTCCTTATCCTCTCTAATCTTAAATATATAGATTCTGGCTTAGCAATTTAGCCCTGAGTGTGCTCTGCTGGATGCTGCGAGGTAGAAGTCTAAGGAGAGCCCTGCTCATGAGGTGGAAACGTGTCTTGTAGGAGACTAAAGGAATTCCAGGTCCAGATCTCATGGGGTCACACTAAGGAGCAGCCAAGAGCCAAGTTGTAGAAGATCAGTGTTTTGTCTTAGTGGAGGAGACAGATCTCTCAAGGGTTATCATGAACATCATTGGGAGTTACCAGCACCACCATATGATGCCAGAACCTTTCATCTTCACTCCCTCCTCCAGATGTCACCAGGAAAGACCCTACTTCCAGGGATGGGTCCTCAACCCCGGAGAAGTGTCACCAGAATTTGCCACGCAGCCCCCCTACAGCCCTGAATATGGCACCGTAGGCCCATCCCAGACCAGCAACCGCCTGGAGGCCCTGACTGGTAGACTGAGCAGGAGAAAGGGAGTCCCCCCTAAAAAGGAGAGGAGAAGGACAGAAAGTATCAACAGTGCTTTTGCAGAGCTTAGGGAATGTATCCCTAATGTGCCAGCTGACACCAAACTCTCAAAAATCAAGACCCTCAGGCTTGCCACTAGCTATATTGGCTACTTGATGGACGTTCTAGCCAAGGATACCGAGCCTGGAGGCACTGAGGGGTTTAAGGCTGAGCTCAAGAAAGTTGACAGTAGAGACTGTAAAAGGAAAAGAGAAGGGGTGAGTAGAGAATACAAAGATGTACTGAATGTGTTTTATATTTTCTTTCTTTTTCTTTCTTTCTCTTTCTTTCTTTCTTTCTTTCTTTCTTTCTCTTTCTTTCTTTACTTCCCTTTTTTTGTTCTTCTTTGCTCTTGCTTCTGTATTGTTTCTCTATGTATCCCTCATAACTCATAGCTATTAAAGTAGCCTACACATTTTAAAGGAAACCTTCCATTTTACCCTAAAATAATACAACTACCAGCCCCGTGTAACTGTATTTAATAAACAATGTTTATGAAATAATAAACATTGTGATTTATTTCCTTATTAATTAATTGTAAAAACATAAGAAGTTTTTAAACGTGATGACTGCTCTGTAAAAGAAATGATATTGACAAATAAGGACGACTGTTAGATACTTAACACTGTTCTACAGCTCTACAAAACTGTAAACACATTCTGAGTTTGGTGTTGGAGTAAAATATTGCTCTCATGAGGGAAAGTTCACAGCCCTTAAGATATATACAGGATGAACCTCAAATTGAAATTCTCAAGAGGTCTTTAAATTTCAACTATTTAAAATATTCCTTTTAAAATGTGGCCAGTTTCTGTCGTATTATACACAGGATGATGAATCATTTACTCTGCTTTCTTTTTTATTTACCATAAATATTATACATAACACTAACAACAGACAAGGCCATGAAGTGTGTGTTTATTGTTGCTGTAAATATCCCATTAAAGTTTGCAGTTAAATATGTTTTTGATTTTTTTTTTTTATACTGAAATAGACTAGAAGAAAATAAAATCATTAATGACATATTCCCCAAGATAGCTTTTTAAATAATTTCTCTCATTTTATTTTCTGTTTATTTTTGCAAAAATATTTTTTATTAAATTCATTTTTTTCCCTTTTCTGCAGAGTGAAGGATTCTGGGGTAATAGTCCAGCAGGGGAGAAGAAACTGAAGGGTCGGACAGGGTGGCCACAACAGGTCTGGGCCTTAGAACTGAACCCTTAAAAGTTGCCTTAATTACCCTCAATGCACTGTAACCCTCCTACAGAATCATAGACAAATGGAATTTAATCACTGAGCACTGCTATTAAGGCTGGGTGGGAAAGGACAGACAAACTTATGTGCAATTTAAAAAAAAAAAATCTATTTCTATGGACAATTTTTAAAGATTTTTTTTTTCTTTTGTGAAGACAGGATTGTGCACAAATGATTACCATGTGTTTGCGTGAGAAGTCTGCAAATTATAAACTGCCTTCAATGGATCTATATGTAAAGAACCACAAAATGTATATAACAATATAAAAAGTTGGACCATCTACATATATATATATATA